GGGGTTCGACGGTCCGAGGTGCGGGATTCCTGGATCCGATAGGCTCCTGGTATGATTTTGAGTCTTCATTTCTTTGTTCTTTTGGTATAACATGAAGGTCAACAACCATGCGGTTGTACTACTCGGTGTTGATGTGGCTATTGGCAAGTTTGAGCTGTTGCACCAATGTCTTAGTTGTTGGAGTCTGAAAACATAACAAAATGGGCCTTAGGCATTGTATCAGAGCAGCTTGCGCAACAACCGACTACTCTTTCAATTCAAGCATTTTCATTTGGAATCAAACAATAAAACTCCCAACGCATCTTTAAAAGAGCTTTAGAGCTTTTAGGGGTCTATGCTCTCTCGTGAATTGAGTGATGAGCAGTTTCTTAAACTCTATAAAGGAGATGATGACACCTAACAATAGGCGAGTGAATCACTAGAGGGAGGAATCCTTGAAGGTGGTAATGAATAGCCAAAACTTTAAGGCATCATTAACATTGGGGAGCAACATAGAAAACTAGAAAAAGTTGGCATGATCGGATGGGCCATTCCATCCCTTGTAGGACTCCAAGTTGGGCAATTTGAACTTCGGAGGCAAGCTTACCTTTGATATCTCCATGTAGAATGTGTTGGTCAGGTTGTGTTCTATCTTTCTCACTCATCAAAGAGGGGTGTACTTATCACTGGTAGAACTATTAGTGGGATCAACATTGGGTGTCAAAGTGATTGCCCTAATTCCTGGCCTTCTGCAATGGAGAACCAAGTGCTCTGGAGCATTAGGTAATCCTCTCAGTGTGTCTTAAATCATTTTGGTGAGCCTTTCTTCTAACTCTATCAAGTCACGACAAGTAATGTAGTTAGAGATATCCATATTCAAAGACCGCTTCGGGTTATACTGTTTTCCAAGATACATTTGTCTTCTAGTCACCAGCATCAATCCACACTTGTTGAATCTTCTAGGATGCTAAATTCAAATTTGTGTGTGTATGATCAATTACCAAGAGCTATTTATGTTGATCTCAGCCAGAATAAGTTCACTAGAGCACTTAATTCAATTTTGGAGGTTTTTTACTCCAGTTTTAACAAGCTCAGTGACCAAGAGGAGATCATTAGAAGATGTCACAACATGCAAAAACCTGTTATTGTTGCAACCAACATGTTGGAGAGCATGATTAATCACCCAACTCCAACTAGAGCAGAAGTTTCTAATATAGCAATTGTTGTGTGTGAAGGCACTGATGTCGTAATGCTCTCTGGAGAAACAGCCCATGGGAGGTAAATCATCAAAACAATTTGTAATTTCAATAACATACAAATTAAGTAGTTATTTAATTAAAATCCCTAATCTAACATTGAGATTAGCAACATAGAAGGTAAATTCAAATCCTATGTTTACTAAACGGAGGCAGAGGGAGAAGCATGAAACCTTGCAATTAAATCACCACCTACAATGTTAGCGGATTAGAAAGATAAATGAAGAGGGAAGAAGTTCACCCTTGTCGAGGTCCGGAAACAATTTGCCACTGAACGTTGGCAAGTTGTTCTTCGACGGCTTCAGAAAATGTGAAGATGATGCGGTCCACGTATTCTTCGACGGAGTTATCGGTTTCCGGGTTGAAGTTGAAGAAGGTGGAGTGGAGAATGTTGATGTTCCCTTGCTCGTCGTAAACGAATCCGGAATCAAGTTCCAGATCGGCCATTCATTGGCTTTGAAGTGTTGAGGGTTTGGCGACAGTCGTTGTTGATTTCCTTGAAGACTCCTATTGAGGGGAGGAGTTTATCTTGTAAGTTCAAGAGGGAGAGATCTGATTTTAGGAGGCCAAGGGTGGGGGTGAGGAGAAAAGATTAGGTTTAGATTTTAGGAGAAGAAGATGGAGGGAAAGTCAAGCAATTGCTTTCCTAATTAATGCTTTTAATTTGGAAAATGATGAGGGTGTAATTAGGGAGGGGTGGGGCGGCTAAGATAGAGAGAGAGGAGGTTTGAATTATTTCCAAGAAGGAATCTAGACTTAAGGAAATAATTCCATGGGAAGCCCATGATGGGGCGGCGACATAGGGGAGGGTGATTGGGGAATTAATTAAGATTTAATGCTTTCCTCTTTGGGATCCTCTAATTAGGATATGAGAATTAATTTCCAATCCAAATCAAATTAATTTTGAATTTGATTTTGGAAACTTCCCTAAAATATAATCCTATTTTAGGAAATGTTTCGCATTCAAATTTGAATTTGAAATGATGGAAATTATTATCTTCCCAAGAGAGAACTTATCCGAAAGGAAAGTAATAAGGTGGCTTTCCAATTTGGGAACAAGAGGGGCAAGTGGTCGGGTGGAGTGGGGCTTTGGGTGCTAACCGACTGGAAAAGGTGGGCTATTAGCGATTAGGGAGGGGGTTTTGGGGAGGTGGTCGTGGCTTGGATTGTGGGAGGGCCAGTGGTTTGAAGTGGGAAGTGGGAAGTGGGATGGCGTTTTGGGGTGGAGAAAGGGAGAAAGACGAGATAAATAGAACTAGTCGCGAGCCCGGACGCTTCCAAGACTGGCGAGTGAAACGATTCCCTCTCCAAGGGATTTCTCTCTCAACTCTCTCAAGCTCTTGCAAGAACTCACAATGCAAAAAATTTGATCATTCATTCCTTCATTAACCATGAAAAGAGAACATAAGGGCTATATATAGCATCATACAAATGACTCAAAAATAAAAGATGAAAATGTCCATTGGGCTTACACATGACCACCCTTAAGTGGTAAAAACGGAAAACAACAGAAAACAAATATAAACATAAAATAATAAAATACTAATACATATAACAACTTAAAAATGCATCAGCACGATCGTGGTCGTAGATCGATGGCCACGCCTCTGATGGACTTTCCAAGCTCCGATGTCCCCATCACAGATCTTCTTGAACCTAGTGTCAAACAAGCACTTATTGTTGGTATTGGTTTTTAAATTCTATAGCAGTTCTCTAACATAAATGTTTTCCTATATTACACACCTCAAATTCGTAAACAAGCAAGAGTTGAAGTGATCTTTAAAAACCTTGGACTTGGTTTTGATTCATCATCCATCCTCATCACGTCACCACATGTACCCCACTTATTGCAAGAGTTCCACGGTAGAGTCATAGGAGGACACCTAGGGGTACAAAAGACCTATTGTAGGCTTATGGTATAATTGTATTTGATTTGAATGCTGAATGATGTGGAGGAGATGGTGGCCAACTGCGATATCTGTCAAAAACACAAATGCATGATGATGGCTCCGAGAGGACTTCTACATGGATAATACATTATCCTGATGACAAGGTGGCTATTTAGGAAGGGAGTATTGAAAAGTTAGGGGGGCACCTTGTGGAGCCCAGGAAAGCTATTATTCATAATTTAAGAAGGAATCAAGAAGAAATTGTTTAATTGATTAGAAATGTTTCCTAATTGTGTTACAAGTTTTAAGAAAGGTTTATTTTTTTAGAAAAGGCTTCATAAATTATGTTAAATTGTTTAGGGAGGTTACCTAAATAATGTTTAATTGTTTAGGAATGTTTCCTAAATCATGTTTAATTGTTTAAGAAAGTTTTTTAAATTATGTTTAAATATTTAGGAAGGTTTCCTAAATTATATTTAAATTGTTTAGGATTATGTTATTGTGTTCTAGTGCTATTTAAGGGGGAGTTATTTAGAATTTAGTTTAAGTTATTGCTGAGTTTATCTCCCTAGTGTTTGTCGTGAGATTTTAGCGACATCTAGGGTTTGTTGGAGAGTTGATCTACCTCTCGAATGGTATATCAATTGTATATTGCTTTATTATTGAAGGATAAATAAGAAAAGCAGACATTATCTTTGTGTTCCTATGTTTTTTTTTTCTCTTTTGTTTGTTGTTTTTACTTTCAAAGCGTATTAGAGCTCCACAGGGCAAGTGTCTTGGGTGAGTTCTCAATAAATAGCATTTAGAACGAGTATTTGGGGGCAAGTCCTCAAGACAATTTAGGCGTTGAGTCCCTAGAGCTAGTATATGGACATTTAAGCAAGAGGGATGAGTCCCTTTGGGCAATGATGACTGCAAGTTGAAGATTGACTAAGTCTTGAGTGTGGTAATCATGAACCCCTGATGGGCGCACTTTATGTAGTTGGATCAAGGGCTGTCAATGGTAACCACTTCAAAGATGATAATGAGTGCCCTCAAAAGATCAGTCTTCACTGAGATAAGTGTTTCCCAAGGGCTTGGAAAAATCTGTACGAACCCCTTGTGCACATGCTTGGGACAACTCAATTGGGTGGGATGAGTCATGCTCTCTGTTGGCAAGTGCCTTTTAGGGATGTCAATATTTGGCATGACCCAAAAACCTGACTCGAACCCGCCTTGAAAATTCCGGGTTAGGGTCAACCCAAACCCAAAACAGGTCGGATTCGGGTTCAACAATTCGACCCGTTTCAAAAATCAAGTCATGTTTGGGTTGACCCTTTGACCCGAAATTGACCCGTTTTGACCCGACAACCCGAGATTGACCTATTTTTTACCCACGAAGCATAGATTGACCCGTTTTTTAACCCAAAAACTATACGTTTTTTTGTTGGCACCGAGTCATTCGGGTCGTATCGGGTTGACCCAGATCCGAAGCAGTCGGGTTCGGGTCCGGAAAACCGACCCGTTCGCAAAAACGGGTCGGGTTCGGGTTGACCCAAATAGTGCCGGGTCAATTTCGGGTTAGACCCGAACCCAACCCATGACCAGAAATTGACACCCCTAGTGCCTTTAGTGGGCAATGTAACTACTTTGACCGAGTTCTTATGCTAGAATTTGCCAGATATCTATCAAATACCTATATGTGAATGTACAAGTATACACATATTTCATAGTTCCTCAATAGACTATCTTCACCAGAATTATGCAATTTTTGAATTCTCAATGTCAAATTCATTATAAGGTGTTATAAACCAAAAGAAATAAAACTTCAGTGAACAGAGAAAGTTGTGCTGACAGAATGATTAGCAAAATGCCTGAATATTTAAAATAAAATTACCTTTGCATTGTGGATCATGCAAATGATTTTTGAGCGAACCCTTTTGAGCATACTCATACACAAGAAAGAGCTCGTCAGTACTGGCTGCATAACCAATCAATTCTACCTTGACAAAAGATATGAAAGATAAAGTAGGTAGGTTGCAAAATCGCAGAATGTGCAAGTAGAACATCAAAGAACAGTTCGGGTATGCAATACATACCAAGCTGGAATGGTGAACCTTGCATAGAACCTTTATCTCTGCTATAAATTCCTTTGTTTTGGTAGCAGTCATTCTTTTGATAGCAACCTCCTAAAATTGTCATTTATATTACAAATAGACAGATATAGAACTCTGGGTAACAAGCTCAATAAAAAAATTTGTGTGCAAGTACAGACCTGATCACGAAGAAATCCATAATATACAGAGCCATAAGTCCCATGACCCAATAAATTTGAATCAGAAAAGGAATCAGTTCCCAGAAGAATTCCTTCATATGTAAAAATTATTGGTCTCTCCAAATCAAATGCATCAGCCGTGATGCCTGTTCAAGGAATACTATTTCATGAAGATGTAAACCTAGGAGCATACAGAGAATTTTGAGAGGAACTCAGAGAAGAGGAACCTAGGAAAAGCTTTGAAAATAGACATTAGTGGAAGAAAATATTACAATTTGATAATGACAACATTGTATAAACTCTATTCAAAATATGGCTTATGGTTTCTCATTAATGATTAAACTGAGTTTATGTAGCATACCAATAACTATGAACTCTGCTCAAAATATGGCTTATGGTAATCCCAATTAAAAAAATTAACCATGTAAATCATTTAAAATTTTAGGATGTGGGTTAAATTTCAAAATAGTCCCCCGACTATTCGTATATGGCAATTTTAGTCTCAGAACATAACGTTGCTCCAATTTAGTCTCTTAACTATACAAACTTGATCTTAAATGATCCACTTGGGACAAAATTGGGATCAATTTTATAAAGTTGAAGGACTAAAATGTGATCAAGTTTATATCACAATTACAAAATGGACTGTTTTAGATCAATTTTGTCCAATCAAGACAGTAAATTTGGACAATGTGTATACTCTGGAACTAAAATGGACATACACGAATAGTATGGGGACTATTTTGGAATTTTTCTATATATATATATGATGTTAAACTTAAATTATATCAAGCCCAACTATATCCTAGATAAGGCCAGCTGGGCTTTGAATAAACAAGCTATCAGGACATTGTTTCTATACCACATTGGTAGGACTTTTAATGTCAGTTTCTACTATTTTCTCTAGAATTGTCTCAATAGATATATCAAACGGTGAAAAAAAGAACTCTGGCATTGTGGAGTAATGCAGCTTATTTTTTTGACAATGAATGAATTCATCTTAGCGCCTTAATATGAAAATTCTGAGGAAACAAGTCAGCCGTAGAAAGAATAACAATAAAGATGCTTGGCTAGACTTTAAGTAGAATAAGAACAGTTAATACCATTAGGAATATCGACAAGATGATCGCCAGAATCCTGAGTTGAGTGCTTGAAATTTTCAGATTTAAAGCAAAGAAATCTTCTTGAGGCATAACAAAAGCTGCTGCTCTTGAGAGTCTGAAATTTATTTGAGATTGGTTGATCTGGAGATTTTCTATGACTGTTTCGAGGCCGCAAATTACAGAATTTGAGTGAAACACACAAAAGTAGGGCAGCGCCAATAATTAAAACAGCAACTCCCACGCTTCCAATAATCCACAGATAGGAATTTTTGGTTGAGTGATCCCCTGGATTTTCTGCAAAAAAAGAAAAAAAAAAAGAGCCAAAATATTAAAATGCCGAATGACTTAGAAATTCAAATAGAAGAAACAAAGAAACAAGCAAGACAAGTACAGTGGGTAAAACAACTATGGTTAGCTAACTACCCTTGGACTGCTGATGGCATAAGAGCCTATATGCAAGATTTTTCCATAAGACAATTTTAAATAATTTGTGATGCTAATGATAAGAATACAGTTTGGCAGGGGTGAGGTAGATTTTTGGCCATCTATTGACTCGGGTTCAGCTGCTGCAATAACGCATGCAAGTTCAAACTCCAGTTATGAAATGAAAGGTAAGACTGGTTGGTGAAGTTTTGAGCTATGGAGCATTCCAGCTAATGTGAGAGCAAGGATGAGAGGATAGCAGAACATAACGTTGCTCACTCACTAGAAAAATGTAAAGGTAAATATATTCAATCAAATAAGTCTGGCTGGCGAAGATTAGCAGTAGTATTACTTTAAGTATTTACAATGATATTTTCCGATGAGAAAGAAGGAGATGATTGGTTTTCAGTAATTCAAAGAACTTAAAAAACAACTTTACATCTAGAAAACCAACTGATCAGAAGGTGAAACTATTGGAATAAGTAGGAGAATGTGGGCTCCGAAAATTTGGCCCCGGCCTCCCCGCCACGCGATTGTTACTTTTTCTTTCGGCGAGAGAGTTTTAACGGAATAAGTTCCGGGGTAAATTTTGGAAGGCAGATGGGTTTGTAGATAAGACGCTACCCAGAGATTTCGCCCTCATTTTGTGAGGACTTTATGATCTGAGTTCTGGTTTCCTATAGGCGCAAGCCCCTATAGTTAATTACCCCTCTCGATCACGAGAGAGAACTTTCGATTAAGGCTAGTCGTCAATCAGATACGTAGAGATACATGTTATCTGGCATATAGTAGCAGCATAGGTTTGAGATTGGAAGTTTGAAGAGTTCGGAGATTTGAGATTTGAAGATTTGATATTTAAAATAGAAATTTCACCGTCTTTCACTTAAAGCGGATGGTGGGGGAATGGATCAAGATCCCATGGTTCCTTCGTCCCGGGCCATCGTGGTCCCTGGTCTACTTAGTCAGAGGAGGTAGTCGACCTAACCTGACAGAAGGATCCTTGTCGGCAGCCAGGGGTTGCTTCGTCCAAGGGGACCTTGTAGACCTGGGTTGGATATTTGTATAAGGGGACAAATTTGAATCCACCTTAGCTAACAAAGGGCTTTGTGCCCTATCGATCATATCCTATTGATTCATATCTCAAGGATTTGATGCCTTTAAGGAGCGTATTGGCTTTGGCCATAACCGCTATCTGTGGTGTCATTTGGCGGCAAAACCACTCAATTCAGCGGGCCCCGGGTCATAACCGTTTATCCTGCGGTGCCATTTGGCGGCAAAACCACCGGTCAGAGGACACGTACCACATCCTTATTAGCAGGAGATTGTTTGAGAATGGATCCTAGTGATACTTTCGACTAGGCATTTAGCTCTATATGAGCTGAAGTAGTTTTAAATTTGTCCACCTCGGCAAACTATTGCAGAGGGTGGATGGATTTTGTTTTAAGTGTCGATGAATTTATTTTAATTTTAAATATTTTTGGATTTTTTGGATTTTTGAATGGACTTTTGGAAGGTATTTGAAATTATTTATGAACCCCTCCGGTTGAGATACACATTCAACACGGCCATCATCGGGGTGTGGGATCATTTCCATTCGTTGATTGAATCTTGTCGACTCTATCGAGTTATTGACAGAAGATCGAATTTAGGCTTTATGCCCTTGTGAGTGAATTCATATTGTTATAGACCTTGAAGGCCTAATATGAATGTATTAAAACAAATATACTGATCGTCACAACCTTATATTTGCTTAATAGTTCGAACTCTGTCGACTCCTATTGATCCGTATAGAAGGATCGGGTTCGAACTTGAATTCACTTATCAACCCGCGCAGCATCCCTAGACGTCACGTGTGTATTTATAACACACTCGACAGGGCCCATGCAGGTTTGGGGGCATTTTATAATTAAACCCTGTCGACTCCTTTTTACCTGCTAAGGAAGATCGGGTTTAAAATTTGATAACCCACGCAGCATCCTTAGACGTCACGTGTGTACCAATAACACGCTCGCCGGAGCCCATGCGGGTGTTATGATTGCTTTTACCCCTTTTAGTGTACCTATGTGTATACAGACTATGGTGCACGTGCAAGGGTACTTTGAAAGTATTTGTGAAACGCCTTCTGTCCGCTTCCAAGAACGTCACGGATCCGGTGGCGTCGCGTAGCAGCTTCAAAATTGAGTGGTTCGCTGCTTTATACAGGTAGACTGTCGTGCGCCGCTTATTTTTGCAGGTGGATTGTAGTGCACTAACGAATCTCCTGCTTTCTGATCGTAGGAGCTCACACTTTATGGTCTTTTGGCATTCTGCTCGTATATGACATTTAGTGCATATGATGGGTCCTCCACGACGGTCTGTAGATGGTTGCATTTGCTACAATTTGACCATCTTTGTTTGTGGAAAATTACTGCATTTGATCAGCACTGGATTGTTATTGATTGTAGGAGTGTCATAGCACTCATTAATTATCACTGGTCAACACTCATAGGCTTGTTGTGTCTACATGTAAGTTAGCACTGATCATTGGGTGAATCGCATTCATCGCCAACTCTTCCCTGCCTATTGATTGGCAAATTGTTGCATCACTCACATGCATTTTAATATATATTTGTACTCTGATATCAACTACGGGAATGTTATAATGTTCTTGCTATAATGATCTTGCAAATGTCTATCATAAATTTTCTAGCATTACAAGTCATTACTAATCAACATTGAAAATTTCATTCAACATAAGCCTCCATTGCTTATTTGATTCAATTCACTTGATTAGATTGAATCTTGCATGATGAATTGGCTTCTCCATTGAAATGATAAATGCTTATTGAAGACTTTGTGTTGTAAGCATGAGGATATTATTGCATTTCTCCATTTGATCCTTATTGCATGGTCAACGCTTAAGAATGAGAGCTAGAGAATTTTATCCATCCTCAAGCATTGCTTGCAATTACTCTTCATTTTATAGCTAATTATTGTTTAGTGACATTTGCATTCTAATTAACATGAAGGTCCTTCCATATTCAATTGAGAGCTTCATATTTTGATTGCAAGTACATTGGTTGGAATGGGATGTAGGAATCATAAGTCTCTCATATATGTTCCTTTGCATCTAAGTTGGGGCTTACCACTTGTAATATATACAAGTTAGATCTTATACGGTTCATTTGAAATTCTTTGGGTTATCATCAAAATCAAGTCCAAAATCAAGTTTGAGTTTATCTAGTTCAAGCTTTGCTCCAAGTTTGAGTTCAAATGGTTCAAATTATGGCTCTTTTGAGTCAAATGAGATTCAAATCCAAGCCTTGTTGTAGTTCAAGATTTACGTCCACAAATAATCTTGTTAAATTCAATTCAAGTCAAAGTTTCTTATACTTGTTCTTTTGAATTTAATTCCAAATGTCATTTGGTCCAAATCAAGCTCACTTCATCATCCTCCATTGTACAAGTTCCCTGTGGTCCAACTTAAGTCTTTGCTTGAGTTCAAACATGTTCAAGTCCAAATCAAATTTGAGTCCATGTTGAAGTTCAAAAGAGAGTCCAAGTTCATGTTCATGTTCACTTAGAATTGAATTCATTTGGGTTCAAGTTCATTTAAGTAGATTGAATCAAGTCCACAAGTCCCAATTTATTCCAAGTCTTCATCTTATTTCAGACAAAAATTCGGTAGCCTCCCGGCGTTTCCCCCATTTAGAAGAAAAATCAAGAGGCCGTCTACCCGCCACGTCAACAAAGACGTGCACGGTTGGTGTTTGTGAGACACCGCGGCGGTATTTTTGTTTTTCATCCACCACGCCAACAAAGGCGTGCATGGGGTTTTAAAAAGGCATTTTTTTGAAAAAGCAGTTTTTGCTTTCCTCCCGCTCGGGGGTACTTATGAGTGACCCCGCCTCGCTGTTTTACTTGGAGGTTCTCTCTCTCTCTCTCTCTCTCTCTCTCTCTCTCTCTCTCTCTCTATGCGGATCAGAGCTCACGATCGAGAGTAAGAGTTGGCCGTATGCAAGGCTTGAACGTCGGGATGGGGAGGCTTTGACGTCAGGCCAAGGTCGTTTGTTGGTGTGGAGGTCGGAGGAGGAAGAGGGTTCGGGATTTGAGTGAGCAGCGGGATGCTTACAGGAAGGAGAAGTTCGGGAGCCAGCGATGGGAGTTTGGCCTTTGCTAAGAGGAATGAGGTCGGGTATTTAACGGCGCGAGTGGAGAAGAACCGAGATAGGATTCATGCAGGAATCGCGGGAGATGACCTATTCGGCGCCGATTTCAACCGGATTCACGGCAGAATTCGTGGATCTGATGGTTTTGAGGTATGTATGCTGGATTTCTAACTTGCTTTCATCTCCCTTTGTTTCATTTGGGTATAACATGAGGGTCAACAGAGAACCAACACAAAAACAAAATCTCAACCGACAAAAATATGAATAGCATAATTAAGAGGATCATGAACGAGTTATGATAGCTATAGTGAAGACGGGAAATTGATACCATCCATAATTTTTGAGATCATGTGATATGCATCAGTGATTAGTTCTAGGACCCATAATTCAAAAGAATGAGGATGAACATAAGTTATAGAGTATAACTAAGTGATTAAGATGAAGATGTGCCTCATGTGTACTATATGATAAGTGAATATAAAAGGACTTTTAAATTTGTAAAGCTTAAAAAAAGGATGTTACATAATTTCAAGTTTTTAGTAAGCCACTAATAGCCAAGTTAAATGTAGCAGAATAAAGATAATGTTTAGTTGGATATGTCATAAAATTAGGAAATATAAGAGTGCAAAATGATTGTAGAAAATGAGTAGCACTTGCTGAAAATAATTTAGTAGAAATAGATTTGATTATTAGGACATATGCAATAAAGGGAAGTAGGTGGAC